AAAAAAAAAAAATGAATGTAATTAAGAAGTTCAAAGGAGACTGACTACCTTGGTTTAATCTTGGCAGCACCTGCATCTTCAGATATCAATATGGAGCCACCAAATAACAGCCCTGTTGAGTTGTGTAAGATACATATTCTTAGCTTATTATTCTTATTATTTTTTGAGACGGAGTTTCGCTTTTTGTTGCCCAAGCCGGAGTGCAGTGCTGTGATCTCGGCTCACTGCAACCTCTGCCTTCTGAGTAGCTGGGATTACAGGCACCCACCACCACACCTGGTTACGTTTTGTATTTTTAGTAGAGATGGGGTTTCACCATGTTGACCAGGCTGGTCTTAGACTTCTGACCTTAGGTGATCTGCCCACCTCAGCCTCCCAAAGTGCTGGGATTATAGGCATGAGCTACCATGCCCAGCCAATTTTGTTGTTATTAATCTCTAGGATATCTAAGGACATGTAAGGAAACCAAGTACAGCCAAATCAATGGATACCTAAACTACCGAACAGTAAGAAACCAAGACTATTACTGCCTACCTCTCACAGCACTATCTGGTCCCACATCTCTGCTTCTTAGCTCCACTCTGCTGTCTTGTGCTTACTAGAGGTTTTCTAGCTATTCCACACTTTCATCTTTTTTTTTTTTTTTCTTTTTGAGATGGAGTCTGTGTATCCCAGGCTGGAATGCAATGGCACGATCTTGGCTCACTGCAACCTCCGCCTCCCAGGTCCTAGTTCAAGCGATTCTCCCACCTCAGCCTCTCAAGTAGCTAGGATTACAGGCACAAGCCAACATGCCCAGCTAATTTTGGTATTTTTTAGTAGAGACGGGGTTTCACTATGTTGGCCAGTCTGGTCTTGAATTGCCTGCCTCGGCCTCCCAAAGTGCTGGGATTACAGGCACAAGCCACTTTGCCCAGCCCATCTATTTTTAATTTTTATTTAGAGACAGGGTCTCATTCTATCTACCAGGCTGAAGTGCAGTGGTACCATCATATATAGTTCACTTTACCTCATTCTCATGGGCTCAAGTCGTCCTCCTGCCCCAGCCCCGAGTAGGTGAGGCTATAGGTGTACACCATCACATCCAGCTAACATAACTTCATTTTGTATGTGGCTTTAATCATCACCCTGATTCTGACCTTGCCATGGCGGCCTATCCCCAACTCTTGACTTTACTTTGTAAGTCCTATCCTTATTTCTCTGCATCCTGGCATAGCTGAGGCAAGGAAGTTGTGACTGCTCTGTTATTCTTCCAAGTGTAAGTCATACACATGTGTATATAAGTATGTTGGCAATAGAGATATCCAACATCTGTGGTAGATGTTGCTGGCAATCAATTCAACAGTGATGAATTTTGTTGAGGCCGTGGCTGCATGACATTGAGCAAATGACTTTTGAGCATTTTCTTCCTCTATAATATGAGTATAATTAATACCTAATGAGAGAACTATTGTAAGAAATGAATATATGTGAAAAGCACCCAGCATAGTGCCTGGTACATGGTAGGTGCTGTTAAAGGTAATTTTCTTATTTCCTCCTCTCTTCCTGCTCTGAAGGTCCAACCCCAAGACTATAAGCACTGAATGGCAACATCAGATTCTAACACTATAAGAGGTTGACTGTAACCGTGGGTACTTCTGGACAAGAAGGAAGTAATCAGTCTTGATTCTTCCTGTTAAGAAGACTAATCTCCTTTAAGTCTCTTAAAGAGGCTAGCAGGTCTAGCAGCTTAGGGAAAGAGAGAGAAGGACAAATGGGGGCACGGGGGTGTTTCTGTACTAAGAGGAAATCAAGACTAATCCTGATATATATGTCCTGTCTCCCATGGCTTTAAGTCAGAAAGCTGGCATATTACTTGAGTCCTTCATTGGGCCAGTGCCAATCTAGGGCCCTGACTCAGGTCTAAGAGCAACTCCTACTAAGGCAAGCAAAGAGCTGGGCCAATACCTGGGCTTCCAGACCTCCTAAGAGGTCAGCTTCTTTGGGTTTAATACAGCTGACATTGTAAAAGAGGGAGAAACACTCAGTTATCAAGAGGCATCACAGTCACAATACTCAGACTAAGCTCTAATTTGGCCCTGGACATAGAATCCAACACATTTGAATTAAAATATTCAAGATATTCGGTGGAACATTCATCTATCATATTATATTCAGAAGCGGATTAAAAATGTGTAAAATGTGTAGAGTTACTTACTTCTCACCAAAGAGTACAGATTTTTCTTCTCTCTGCAGCTCTCCCTGTAGCTTTTCTGCTTAGTCAGCTGTAGAAACCCACCTCTCTTCTTTCATTATTAATGTATTAATACTAAATTGCTTCTGTTATGTCACTACATCTTCTTTCACCCATTCACCAAGCATATACTGAATGCCTTACAAATCCAGGTAGATATCCGTTCTCAAAGAATTTGAGTAGAAAATGTTAACATATAAGCAATTAACAAAACATAAATTTTGTTATGTTTCTACATAAGTAGAAAACATGAAGCTTTCCTGCATAAAGAACACAGGGTAGAATATGTTAACTCTCAGAGGTGAAATATAATGAAGGATTGCTACGGCAGTCCTTTCTTGAAGCTGTATCTCCTAGGCTTACTCTTTCCTTTGCATTCCTAACAGAGTCATCATTTGATGACCAGATGACTATAAGTGTGTCCTACTTATTTTGAAGAAATATCTTTCCCATGCAGAATGGTTTATGTTCACTTGCCAGGTTGTATCATTGCTCATTTCCTATAAAACTATTCTGTTTAAAGATCTGTAACTCCTTGCTCAGCTTTTAAGACCTTCTACATGCTGCTACTTACCACCAACCAATTCAATCCCATCTCCCACAACTTTTCTTTTTCTTTTTTCTTTTGAGATGGAGTTTTACTCTGTCACCCAGGCTGGAGTATAGTGGTGGGATCTCAGCACACTACAGCCTCTGCCTCCTGGGTTCAAGCGATTCTGCTCCCTCGGCCTCTTGAGTAGCTGGGATTACAGGTGTGCACCACCACGGCTGGTAGTGGCCAAATGAGCTACAAATAAGCTGTAACAACCAGGATGAGACGACTAGGTTTGCTGTAAAACTGCCTCCATATCCAGACACCAAAAGTCACACTCCTCTTTGACAGTATTAAGGAATCACTGTCAGTTTTTTGTAGGTGTGATAATGGTATTAAGCTATTTGTTTATTAACAAAGAAGAGCCCCCCCATATATATGTATGTATACATAAAATATATATCTATTTTAAATATCATCATTATCCTGGAAGGGTCCATATATTTTAACTATACATAATGAAGTATAATATTTACAGATGAAATTATATCAAAATGCCTTACTTTAAAACAATTTAGGGTAATGGGGGGAGAGAAATGGTGGCATATATAAAATCAAATTGACAATGAATTGCTAATTGTTGAAACTGTGTGATGGATATATGGGAGTTCATTATTTTCTTCACTTTTGCATTTATGTGAAATTTTCCATAATAAATGGTTTCTTTAAAAGTCATCCTTTCTAACATAGTTGTATCCCCTTTTGACCATCAAGGCCTAGGATCATTTCATATAGCTTCATTTTCATTTGGAAGTGAAAAATAAACCCTTCAGTGGCCAAGAGTTAATTTCATTTTTGGAATACAAACAGTCCAGACTGGTAATTGAGAAACAGGTCTTGGATCACCCTCTAGATCTTGACAACAAGTTACCCTGCTATCTAAAAAGCAAGGTCTCCACATTCCACCATGGAGCTTAGGCTATAATTTCTATGAGGGCAGGGCCATATCTGTTTATTTATCATTGATCCCATGGTTGCTCTAGCACAATTGCCTCTTGAGTGCTTAATAAGCCTATGTTGATGGAATGAAAACATTTTTCAGAGGTCAGAAGGGAGCAGGGCAACAGTGTCCTTGGTAGGGGAAATAGAGAGAAAACAATCCTTGGGAAAGCTAAAAGTCCAAATGATTTGGTTTGTCATTGGCTCTATATGGGCGTCCCCATAGGAACTTTAGCAAGTGTTGTCGGGGGCAAGGGGTAGGACACTGAAAGAAAAATCATTAAGGGGCAGAGGAACAATCCTCCTTCCTCTTAATATTCTGATATATGTTCAAGTCCACCAGCCAAAGGCAGAGATAGCATTTAAACTCAGGTTCTCAAATTGTTTTCTCCAGATGGTCTGAGATACCACTTGCTATGGTGGTATCTGTTCACCTACGTAAGTTTCTGCCTTGAATAGCACTGGCGAACTTTCCAAACTTATCCAGCAGTCATCAAGGGAATCTAGCTGCTCCTTTTCTTAACCATGCAGTTATTAAATCTTTCCCACCTGTTCCTTTGAGAACTGTAGCTGCTTTTCTTATAAAAAAAAAATCCTTGAGACCAACTGCAAAAGGGGTTTTCTCTTTGAAAACCCAGTTCCTGTGATCTGCCAGACACAATCTCTGGAAGGTATTTAAGTCCTATAATTCTGTTCTCAAAAAAAAAAAAAAAAAAAATCAGAAAATGTGCCAAATTTTGTTTCTCTGCATTCATGAAAGTTTACTCATTGAGGTGGGTTTCTTTTCTAAAATTGGGGGGAAACATGCTCTCCTTTTTCTCCTCTTTTGTGGTAAGTCTCTAGCCCTTTGCTAAGAGGGCCTATCTATTGGATAATTGCCTAGGAGAAGAACATGTAATTAGAGACAAATAGCATAAGGGCTGTGGAGCTTGCTCCTGTTGAAGGAGGGAAGAAGAGCCTGGAACTGGACAGAAAGAGGCATCATGGGTTACTGTAAGTGTTATAAACTATTTTACCGATTTATTATAACACATGCTGCAAAAATACAAGCAGGGGACTCTGGTACAGATAAAATTATGTTGATGACATAATTTCATCTCTAAAACAAAAATGAGAACTGTGCTATTGTGCTATTTTTAGAAACTGGTTATCTAATTACGAAGATTTAAAATTTAATGGATTCACAAGGTAGCTTGTTAAGCACTGTATGTTTGACTCTACTACCCTCTTTCTTACCCATTTTCCATTAGGAAATCCACAACGTATTTTTTCAAGCAGTAGAGGTGGGCATCCACAAGGCCTGTGTGGAAATGTATTCTAGGGTGCCTGCAAAAATAAAGTAAGAAGGGGCTCACAATCAGGTAACATGGTCTCCATTCTATTATCAGGTAGTAGGCACTGATAAGTTTATGAGGGTCAGAGCCATGCTGCCTATACCCCTTTCTGGGGAGATTAGGACAGTGGACCCCAACCGTGATCCTACCATGTAAAATGTCTTTTCCCCAGAAATCCTATGGCATACTTTCTGAGGCTCTCAAGATTCTAAAGAAATCTGGAGGCTGGACACAGTGGCTCACGCCTGTAATCCCAGCACTTTGGGAGGCCGAGGTGGGTGGATCACAAGGTCAAGAGATCGAGACCATCCTGGTCAACATGGTGAAACCCCATCTCTACTAAAAATACAAAAAATTAGCTGGGCATGGTGGCGCGTGCCTGTAATCCCAGCTACTCAGGAGGCTGAGGCAGGAGAATTGCCTGAGCCCAGGAGGCGGAGATTGCGGTGAGCTGAGATCGCGCCATTGCACACCAGCCTGGGTAACAAGAGAGAAACTCCGTCTCAAAAAAAAAAAAAAAAGAAAAGAAATCTGGAGAGACATCATATCACTGATAATCTACCTCATTCTATTCAATCATCATTAATTTTTTTTTTTCCTTTGGAAACAGTCTTGCTCTGTTGCCCAGGCTAAAGTGCAGTGGTGTGATCTCAGCTCACTGCAACCTTGTCTTCCAGGCTCAAGCAATTCTTGTGCCTCAGCCTCCCATGTAGCTGAAACTACATTTGTATACTACCATGCCCTACTAATTTTTGTATTTTAGTAGAGATAGTATTTCACTATGTTGGTCAGGCTGGTTTCGAACTTCTGGTCTCAAGTGATCCACCCACCTCAGCCTCCCAGAGTGGTGGGATTACAGGTGTGAGCCACCACACCTGGCCTTTATTATAAATTCTTCCACACAATTCTTTGAACAAACATTTTCCTGCTTCTACCCTAATTATCCTGCTTTCCCCAGACCATACCTTAGCCATGTTTTCTTTTGCCTCCAGGATTTGGTATGTATTCTTCATCTTCACAGAAGATGGAGTAAAATTCTATGAATAACCCTAACTTCCTACTCTTATTTATTCCTCAGGACTAATCCCAGGATACACTTCCTCTAGGAATCTTCACTGACAACAGTGAAGTCTGTGCTACCACAACATCTGGTGTCTACCTCTATTGGATAACTTATACAGTAAAGAAACAGACTACTTCTATTTCCTTGTCTCTCTCTCCCACTAGACTGAAATTCAGTAAAGCAGAGATTTATCTTCACAGCCTTAGCACTTAGCATTGTGCCTCACACAGAGTATATGTCCAATAAATAGTTGTTGAATAAACAAATAAATAAATTAGGTCAAATTAAGGCATCTGCCTAGGTGTAAAAAATGCCATGCTTGTAATGTCTGAGGTAATTCTATTTAATAAAAATAAACACCCAGGGAAGAGACGGGAAGGAGTACAGTGAAGGAGTACAGTGAAAAAATGAAGATTCCAGTCATAGATGCCTGGTTGTGGTTCTTCTTCTAACTCTTATTGCTTTGTAGGTTATTTTCATTTTTAGAGACAGCATCTTGCTCTGGCTGGAGACGGCCACTTGCCCTGCAGGTTATTTTCATTTTTAGAAACAGCATCTTGCTCTGGCTGGAGACAGTCACTTGCCTAGGCTGGAGTGCAGTGGCATAATCATAGCTCACTGTAGCCTCTACCTCCTGGGCTCAAGTGATCCTCCTGCCTCAGCCTCCTGCAGCTGGGGCTGCAGGCATGCGCCACCACACCTGGCCATTTTTTTTATTTTTGTTTTTAGTAGAGACAAGGTCTTGCTATATTGCCCAGGCTGGTCTTGAAATCCTGAGCTTAAGCAATCCCCCTGCCTTCTCCCAAAGTGCTGGGATTACAGGTATGAGTCACCACACCTGGCTGCCTTATAGTTTTAAGAAAAATTATTCTCATGGGATCTGTATACCCCAGAAACAATTTATCCAAGAATTTATGGTGTACAATGCTGGGCTTCTATTCTTTTGGGAAAAGTGCAATAGAAGAGTCAGAGACGCTGGGTTAGGTGGCTCACGCCTGTAATCCCTGCACTTTGGGAGGCTGAGGCGGGCTGATGGCGAGGTCAGGCATTTGACACCAGCCTGGTCAACATGGTGAAACCTCGTCTCTACTAAAAATACAAAAAAATTAGCCGGGAGTGGTGGCAGGTGCCTATAAGCCCAGCTACTCGGGAGGCTGAGGCAGAAGAATTGCTTGAACCCAGGAGGCATTGGTTGCAGTAAGCCGAGATTGTGCCACTGCACTCCAGCCTGGGAGACAGAGCAAGACTCTGGCTCAAAGAAAAAGAAAAAAGAAGAGTCAGAGACTTGGGAATCCCACACCCATACCACACACAAGTCAATAAATGTATACAATGAGGATGAAGAAGCAAGTAAAAGCTACTTTCCCGGTTTAACGTTCTGAAATTCTCAACTTCTAAGAAATTCCTTAAGGAATAGATTGTAGCAAATGTTGAGTATGACTGTAGCAAATGTGATTTGTGGCACTTTGGGAGGCTGCAGTGGGCAGATCACTTGAGCTCAGGAGTTTGAGACCAGCCTGGGCAACCTGGTGAAATCTCGTCTCTCCAAAAATTATAAAAACTAGCTGGGCGTGGTAGTGCATGCCTGTAGTTTCAGCTACTTGGGTTGGGGGTGAGGTGGGAGAATCACCTGAGGCCAAGAGGTTGAGGCTGCAGTGAGCCATGACTGTACCACTGCACTCCAGTCTGGGCAACAGAGCAAGACCCTGTCTCAAAAAAAAAAAAAATTCCATAAAATTTCCCCTTTCTTGCCAGGTGCAGTGGTGTGGTGTGTGCCTACAGTTTCAGCTACTCAGGAGGCTGGGGCAGGAGTATCACTTACACCCAGAAGTTTGAGGATAGTCTGGGCAACAGAGTGAAATCTCTCTCTCTCTCTCTCTCTCTCTGTGTGAGACAGGGTCTTGCTCTATTGCCTAGGCTAGAGTGAAGTGGGGCAATCACAGCTCACTGTAGCCTCGAGCTCCTCGGCTCAAGCTATTCGCCTGCCTCAACCTTCTGAGTAGCTAGGACTACAGGCATGCATCACCATTCCCTGCTAATTTTTCAAATTATTTGTCGACAGGGTCTCACTATGTTGCCCAGGCTGGTCTTGAACTCCTGGGCTCAAAGGATCCCCCTCTCTTGGCCTTCCAAAATGCTAGGATGTCAGGCATGGACCACCCTGCCTAGCTGAGACCTTGACTCTTAAAAAAAAAAATTCCTGGCCGGGCATGGTGGCTCACACCTGTAATCCCAGCACTTTGAGAGGCTGAGGTGGGAGGATCATGAGGTCAAGAGATTGAGACCATCCTGGACAACATGGTGAAACTTCATCTCTACTAAAAATACAAAAATTAGCTGGGCTTGGTGGCGTGTACCTGTAGTCCCAGCTACTTAGGAGACTGGGGCAGGAGAATTGTTTAAACCCAGGAGGCAGAGGCTGCAGTGAGCCAAGATCATGCCACTGCACTCCAGCCTGGTGACAGAGTGAGACTCCATCTCAAAAAAAAAAAAAAAAAACCTCCCCTTTCTTACTCCTCTATGAAGCCATTAATCTGTTAGATTGGGTCACCTGTCTTATAGAACATCCATGTTCTGAATTTGACTGATTGCTTTTAGTGTCTTTTATTTTTATTTATTTATTTACAGATGGGATCTCACTCTTGTCACCCAGGCTGGAATGCGATGGCACTATCTTAGCTCACTGCAGCTTCCAACTCTTCAGCTCAAGCAATCCTCCCACCTCAGCCTCCTGAGTAGCTAAGACCACAGGTGCAAGCTGCCACACTTGGATAATTTTGTATTTTTGTATGCGGTTTCACAGTGTTGCCCAGGCTAGTCTTGAGCTCCCAGCCTAAAGCGATATTCCTACGTTGGCCTCTCAAAGTGCTTGTATTATGGGCATGAGCCATTGTACCTAGCCTATGTCTTAAAAAACAAAAACAAACAGCTTTATGGAAGTATAATTTACATAGCATAAAATTTACCTGTTTTAGGCATACAATTTAATGATTTTTAGAAAATGTACAGAGTTATAAAACAATCCAGTTACAGAACATTTCTTTTACTCAAATAAGATCTCGCCTGACAGTTTATAATCAAACATTCCCCTTTCCAACTCATTAAAGAGGTTCTGCACAGCAAAAGAAACTAGCAATAGAGTAAACCGACAACCTACAGAATGGGAGGAAATATTCTCAAACTATGCAACTGGCAAAGGTGTAATATCCAACATCTATAAGGAACTTAAAACAACAAGCAAAAAACAACCCCATTAAAAAGTGGGCAAAGGACATGAACAGACACTTCTCAAAAGAAGACATACAGGCGGCCAACAAACACATAAAAAAATTCTCAACGGCCGGGCGTGGTGGCTCAAGCCTGTAATCCCAGCACTTTGGGAGGCCAAGGCGGGTGGATCACGAGGTCAAGAGATCGACACCATCCTGGTCAACATGGTGAAACCCCATCTCTACTAAAAATACAAAAAATTAGCTGGGCATGGTGGCGCGTGCCTGTAATCCTAGCTACTCGGGAGGCTGAGGCAGGAGAATTGCCTGAACCCAAGAGGCGGAGGTTGCGGTGAGCCGAGATCGAGCCATTGCACTCCAGCCTGGGTAACAAAAGCGAAACTCCATCTCAAAAAAAAAAATCTCAACATCACGAATTGTCAGAGAAATACAAATCAAAGCCACAATGAGATACTACTTCATACCAGCCAGAATGGTTACTATTAAAAATTAAACAACAGCAATAACAGATGCTGGTGAGACTGTGGAGAAACAGAAATGTTTATACACTGATGGTGGGAATGTATATTAGTTCAGCCACTGTGGAAAGCAGTTTGGAGATTTCTCAAAGAACTAAAACTAGAACTATCATTCAAAGCAATCCATTACTGGGTATATATCCAAAGGAAAAGAAATTGTTCTACCAAAAAGACAAGTGCA